TCTTTTGGACTTTCTTTTTCCATTTGGCCAAGTTTGCCTTTTATGGAATTCTTCTCCTCATTGGCTTTTTGGATCTCTTTTGCCATTTGGGTTAGGCTATTTTTTAAGGTGTTATTTTCTTCAGTATTTTTTTGGGTCTCCTTTAGGAAGCTGTTGACTTGTTTTTCATGATTATCTTGCATCACTCTCAGTTTTTCCTCTACTTCTCTTACTTGCTTCTCAAAATCCCTTTTGAGCTCTTCCAAGGCCTGGGACCAATTCATATTTTTCTTGGAGGCTTTGGATGTAGGAGCTTTGACTTTGTTGTCTTCTTCTGGTTGTATATTTTTATCTTCTTTGTCACCAAAGTAAGATAATATAGTCTGACTCTTTTTGCACTGCTTACTCATGATCCTGGTCAATTACTTGAGTTTTAAACTCTTTGTTAAGGTAAGAGTCTGCTTCCAATGTGGAGAATGTACTGTCCCAAGCTTCAGGGGGTTGTACAGTTGTTTTCAGAGGTACTTCTAGGGACCTGTAAATTTTCAGTTTTTCCAAGGTGGTATGGTAAGGGGCGAGGTGTTTCCTCTCCAACGCCACAAGTTCTACCATGCCAGCACTCCTCCTTGCCCCAGGACCGCCCCTCAGAACTGTGACCCAGATCCAAGCATGGGCAAAGCAAGAGATTCCTGCCTCAGCACTGGCAGAGAGATTCCTGCAATCCCCCTCTAATCACCCACTTGATTCCCCCTCAGTCTGTGGGCCGGGAGCTCAGGAGGCAGCCGCTGCCCCCGAGGCCGCACTTGGGATTTGCACCTGAGACCTAGCTCTTCTCTCACTGCAGTCACAGACTTTTCCCACTGACCTTCTAAGTTGTCTTTGGCATTTGTGGGTTGAAAAATCTGGAAACTGCCCCAGTTGCCTGCGGTTCAGTCCTCTGAGGCCTGCTCTAGGGTTGCTGTGGCCTGCGCGCCCACGCTGAAGTGTGCTCCTCTCCCTGCCCAGCGTAATATACCTTTCTGATCAATCATCCAGGTTGTCTTGGGCTGGAAATTTGTTTCACTCTGTCTTTTTGTGGGTTCTGATGCTTTAGAATTTGTTTAGAGCCATTTTTTTACAGGGATTTGGAGAGATTTGGGGGAGAGCTGAAGCAAGTCACTGCTTTCACTCTGCCATCTTGACTCTGCCCCCTTGACTTCTCTTGACATCATAAAAATACCACTGGAATACTTGGGTTGTCCATTCATTATTTCTTGCTCTCACAAAATGACAAGTCCATCTTTTTATTGTTAGTCTATACCTTTCTCTCTTTTTGGTCATTTTCAGTTGTGTATGACTCTTCATGACCTCATTTGGGGTTTTCTTAGCAAGGATCCTGGAATGGTTTGCCACTTCCTCCTCCAGCTCATTTTACAAATGAGGAAACTGAGGCAAACAGGGTTAAATAACTTGTCCAGGGTCACATAGCTAGTAAGTTTCTGAGGCTGGATTTGAACTCAGAAAGGTAAGTCTTCCTGACTCCAAGTCTGATGCTTTATCCATTGTGCCACTTAGCTGTCCCTATATCTTCTACCGGATCCTTTAAAATGAAATGTTTAGATACTTATCTATGAGCAAGCTTAGCCATCCAAAAGAGATGAAAAGCTGTACCACTCTCATTTCTTTGTAGAGGTAAGGGATTGTGGATGTGGAACATTGCATAAACTGTCAGTGTTGGTTCATTTTGCTAAGTTGCTTCTCCTTCCTCCCTCCCCTTTTTTTTCATTCTTATCCATTCAGATTCTTTGTAGCTATACCAGTTTTGTGTAAATGTAAGGAATAGCCATAACTGTAGACATGTTCTCTGCCCTCTCTTGCATGACAGACCACACATTCTCTGGAGTTGGGAGCACGCTCAAAGAGATCCTAGAATCACAGATACTGAGCTAAAAGGGCTCTCAAAAGCCATCTAGTCCAGCCTCATTATACAGATGAAGAAACCGAGGCAATAAAAATAGGCCAAATAATTTGTCTAAAGTCAAACAGGCAATAAGCATCAGAAGTGAAATATGAACCCAGGACCTTTGCCTCTTTCTACTGTACCCCACTAAAATCGATTTATGAATCAGCCTTGCTAACACCCCCTTTGTTTGTTTGTTTGTTTGTATTTTGTTGATGTCTCTTGTAAACCATTCACAAGCCTTGGCATGACATGACCATCTGCGAGGCATATGAAAATAACAGACGGTTACCCTAATATCCAGGAAAATACTGACATTCCAAGGCTCTAAATTATTTGGACTCATCTGGCGGAATCTGCATCACCATGAAGCCACTTAATGTTTGATTTCTGGGCTTCCGTCTCTTTTGACATGAGTACCAGAAGTGGGGAGGCCATATATTCTGGAGGTTGGAAGTGTTCCTCATCATTCTATTGAATTGTTAGAAGATGGATTTACAGCTGACCTGGAGCAAGTATCAGAATGAAATTAGTCTCTGACTAGACGAAGAGCAATCCAGTTTGCCTGGCCCTGGGCAATGACATCATATCTGCCTCTTGCAAGGAAGGAAATTACTTCCTGATGTCGTTTCCATCTACTAAAGAGAATTAAATCCTTGTAGCAAAATGCAAAACTGACTTGCTCCAAGCTAACTTCTGAGTAGAAGATAGATCACTCTCATAAACATATTTTCAGTTTGGTTATATGCTAATAATCCTCATTTACTCTTGAAAGCACCATGAGTAGAAATGCCACTTTGCTGAAATGCAGACTATGTGTCACCTCTCTTCAATTGACTTTCCCTTTTGTATTGAGCTTTGTGTCTAAGTACCTGGAGGGAAATGTCCATTGGTTTTCATGGTCTTGCTGTTGGGCTGGGCTAAACCTAGAATATTTTTCGTTAAAGTTATTCAATTTAATTATTCTTCGTAGTTTCCCTTACTTAGTGGAAAATATTGCAAGCTCCATCAGGGCGGGGGCCCTATGTTATTTGTCTTTTTGACAACAATGCACATTACAAATAAATTAGGAAATTTAAAAAATTGATGATTTAAATTAAACAAACAAACAAACAAAAAAAGCTCTTTATAAGATTCGAAGGGGGAAAAAACTGCACATAAAGATTGGAGACATAGCTAGACGTTCATGAACCTGCCGTTGTATTTGACCCTCAAACCAAATAGAACAAAGGGGAAGGAATGATATAGTGTAAAGCCCACTGGCTTTGTAACTGGGTCATCTGGGTTTGAATTCTGACTATATTATTATCTACATGTGTCATCTTGGACAAGTTGTATGACATCCCCAGGCCTCAGCCCCATTATAAAATGAACAAGATTGGATTAAGTCCCTTCCATCTCAGCATACTAGACAGTCCTCCATCTCTTCTGGGAAATGCTGTTTTGGGGAGTAGAGTTGTTCCAACTGTTGTCATAGAGTAATAATGTTTGAGCTGGAGAAGACTTTAGAGAGCTAAGAATCATGAGGCCTCAGAGTTAGAATGCCCCTCAGTAGCTCAATCCATTTGCCGAGAAATAATCCTTACTATAACATGTGTGTATACACTCACATACATGCATACATACATTCATATGTACACACACACAAGAGAACTCGTCTGAGGACTGGGGAATGACAGATCTTCTAGGTGTGGTGGTACCATGGCTCATTTTCATGTCCTTGGGTTATAAAATAGATATTTGTTGATATTTTTTGTTTTTACATTGCCTCCATTTCATTCTTCATCTTTTCCCCATCCAAAGAGCCATCCCTTATTTATGCCTGAACAGTAGGTGTACAATTTTTGATTAAAGAGGGAACCCACTTTGGGATAGTACTAATTGTTAGAGGCCTAAAAGACATCTCTTTGAAACTCATCCCAATGTGCCTAATTGTTCCCTCTCAGGCCAAGCTAAACATGGTGAAACTCTCTTCTTTAATGGCTTTATGCTTTAAAGAGGTTAGAAATGCACTAAGACTTTGGGAGCTTTTGTGTACTATTTACATATAAATATTATATTTAAGCATTAGTATTTTTTTTTTACTGAGGACTATACAAACTCTTTTTAATGGATAGTGGCGTAATATCAGTGGTTGAAGATTTAAAGCCAGTTCAGTTGATGAAGACATGTCTATTTGTCCACCATTTGTATTCATTGTTAATTATTCTTTACAGTTTATCATCCTGAAGTCTCTTGTTGGGGTTGGGGTGGAAAGAGATAAGTTCTGTTTATGCACCTGTACTTATTCTCCCCTACTGTCTTATTCACTCCTTTGCATTCATTAGGAATAACTAAACCAAAATCCTTAATGAAACTAGAGGTAATGAAAAGCAATTGTGGTAAAGGCAAGAAGAGCCTATGGTTTTTAAAAATCCAGAGGTGAGAAAAAGCCAGAAAATGTAAGTATGAGATGAAGGAAAGAATGAAAGAAGGAAGGAAGGAAGGAAGGAAGAAAAGGAGAAAGGAAAGAAGAAAGGAAGGAAGGAGAAAAGGAAGGAAAGAGAGAGGAAGGAGGGAGGGAACAATTGAAAGGAGGTAGAGAAAAGATGAGAATACACAGACTGCATCTCTAATTCATTATATTATCATCTGTGGTCTATACTGTTCCCTTCCTTTGACTCTTTTTTTTTTTTTTGCTTTTTGGTGAGGCAATCAGGGTTAAGTGACTTAGGGTCACACAGCTAGTAAGTTTTATTTGTCTGAGGCCAGATTTGAACTCAGGTCTTTCTGACTCCAAGGCCGGAACTCTATCTACTGCTCCACCTAGCTGCGCCTCCTTTGACTCTTAATCATGTGTGTGTGCGTGTGTGTGTATCATACACATGCACACACACACACGCACACACACACTAACTAATTCAATACAGTTTTTAAGAATTTCTCTGAACTTTTTGAGTAGAACAAAGAGCATTCAAACCAGGTAAGTAAAATTGATAGAAATGATTAGGGACAACTTGTGGGTAGAACTGTCCCTTAATAAAAGAGCATTTACTGAAACAGTGGCATCCTATTGACTGGCATATCATTTTGTCTCTGAAAGCTTCAGAAGCACGATAAGGTAGAAGAAGACTCCCCAGCCACATGGAGGTCAGAAGATGAAATGGCAGCAGAAGCGGCTGAGCTCCGGGCATATTTCCAATAAAGAAGGTAAGGCATCTCACCAATAAATACAGATAAGAGTTTGCAATAGGGGTGAGTTCTGTGTACAGGATAAGTTCATATCCCCAACATTTTGTTGATATGCAATACCTAGAGGCAAACTGGTTTCTTGTGAGTGTGCTATAGATACATTTTACTGTATTTAAATTAGGTTTTCCCATAAAATTTGGTTTGTATTGAACCTGATAGTAATAGAGAGGAATAGGTATAGAAATAGAGATTTATTTCTAGAAAATGAGACAGAGATAATATCTATGTATAGATATATAAAGGTAATGTGTAGATAGGTAAAGAGATAGATATCAAAATCTATCTATATCCTACTTCCGTTACATATAGACTTCCTCCATCAAACATGTGTCTATAATCCATTGATAACTGTGAGACAGACAGAGATGGAGAGAAAAAAAGAAAGAGAGAGACAAACAGGGAGAGAGAGAGCTGAGGTAAAATACACTGAAACACCAAACTGTCAAGGTTGTCATGCGGAAAAAAGGAACATAGAGAATATGGGCCACATTCTTAAAATTATGTCGCATTGAAAGAGAAAAATAGTGTGTGTGTGTGTGTGTGTATGTATGTATGTGTGTATGCATGTATGTGATATCTTTGAAAAGAGAAATACACACACACAAACACACATGCACACAAATAAACACATACATGCATACACACATATATACATATACAAGGAGTATGGCTTATATTCTGACCAGTAGGGCATTAGGTATTTATTGAGGATATGAGAGGTGCTATGAAGGTTACAGGAGTACGCTGAGTAGTCCTGAATCTCAAGAAACTTCTTGTCTTTTAAAAGAGATACAACAAGGACACATAAAAAAAAATAGAGAGTTTATCTGGAGAAGGAAACACAGGTTGGAGTAGTTAGGTACAAATCCAGATTGGGTCAGATTGGGGCATGGAGGCTACTCCAAGAAAAGGAAGAAAATAAAGCAGATAGGTGGGGATTAGAAGCACAGGGCAAATGGAGTTCTTCCCGTAGAGACATACATTGTTAATGTGGAGCAACTGGGATCAGCGTATAGAGAGTCCTGAAAGTTAGATAGAACAGTTTGGACTTGAGGAAGGATGGTGTAGCAGAAAGAGTAGGCATCTGAAGGAAGTAGACTGGTTGTGAAAAGGGACAGAAAAGAGCTTTTGTGCATGACAATCTGATAAACATAGACATGCAATGACGGTTTTTATTTCCAGTTTTGGAGAGATATAAACTGTTAAAGAGACTGAATAGAAAACTGGGAGGACTTGTCTGAAGACTGAGAAATGATGGAGCTTCCAGCGCATGGGGACGCCATGGCTCATTTTCATGTCCTTGTGTTATAAAATAAATATTTATTTATATATTTTGTTTTTTTCACATTGCTAATATTTCCTTCTTTCCCTTTTCCCCAGCCCTTATAACCAATAATTTTAAAAAGAGGAAGAAAAATAGCAAAATCTACCAAACATCTTAAAAATCTGACTATATATGTATATATATATGTGTATATATACTCATATATTTATACACACACACACACACACATAAAGAGAGACAAATAGACAGATATAGTTTCAATCCTATTGTCTCTGATCTCTGTGAAGGACTGAGAAGTGTCTTCTCTTATGTTTTCTTTGAGGTCAAGATTAGTTTTTTGAAATTTACTAATATTCAATTTTATTTATTGTATAGTTATTGTTCTTTTCATTTATATCATTACAATTATTGTGCATTTGTCTTCCTGGCTCTACTTACTTCACGTTGCATCAGTTCCTGAAAGTTTTTCCGTGATTCTCTGTATTCATCACATTCATTATTTCTTACAGCATAGTAAGAGTTCCTTAAAATTCAGTACTACAATCAGTTTAGCCATTTTCCAGTGAATAGGCAGCTTTTTTTTTTTTGCAATTACAAAAGTTATTTTGTTATTTGCTATCACCAAAGCAATATTCTAAATATTTTAGTATGCATATAGCCTTTCTTTTTGTCAGCAACCTCTTTGTAGGATGTACCTAGCAATAGAATCTCTGGGTCAAAGTATATGGGCATTGTAGTTGTTTTATTTTCATAATTTAATTTTTTTTTCCCCTAGAAGGGCAGGATCAACTTGCAGTTTTTTGAGTTTGAAAGTTTAACACTCACAAAGTGGTAAATCAATTGCTTGGAAACTGTGGAATGATTAAATAAGGATTAGTCATTTCATAGCTAAAAGTAGGGTGAATTTCTTGAGTTTTATATCAAAAAGGAGTGATAAGTCACTGAGCACAAGGGTGCTCTGATCTGAGCCACTGAGAATGTTGAAGAAGCCAGCAGAGTGGAAGAAATGGTGAGAGAGAAGGGGAGAGTTAGTTGATAATAAGTTTTCAGCTGTTCCAAGCAGGGCTCGGAGTTGTTGACTGACTAGAGAAAGGCTGAAGCTGATTGGAAGAGAGCTCAGGCCTTTTGACTGACATCCACCATCTACAACTTGACAGAAGTGATACTTTTATCAGGTGTTTGTCACTCTCTTCTTCTGCCTCTGATGTAGTAAGGGAAAAAAGGTATACTTTGAATTTGCTTCGTCATTAGCAGAGACTTGAAGCTGGTTGTGAAATCCAGCATCCTGATGAATGAAAAGCTAATTGGGCTTTTCTGTATCACCCAGAAAGCCTACCTAAGGAACTTAATCACTTCTCTGGTTTAAGGGAATAGCTTATCATGACAGTAGCATAGCTTCCTCATTGCCCTTTGGAGGGTAATTGTGAGTTTAGAGAGCTTGTCATTGCTTCATCAGTTTAATTTTTTTTGAATAGTTGATTTACCAATCAGGCAGAAGTTAGCAGAGAGGAATGGTTTATTGTGGTATAGATTGTACATGAAGGCACCAAGAATATTGAGGCCTTCAGTAGAGCTGTAAGTTGCCCAAGCACATGATTTGTCTTCATTCATGAATCTTTATTGCCTCTGACATGATAATATTTTATTACCTTAGTGTACCATAATTTCTTTAGCCATTCCCCAATTTATGAGTATCTACTCTGTCTCTGGTTCTAATCTTACTAGTTCTGTATGTGTCCATTCTCCCCTATGAATATTATAGTATCTGTGGGAGAATGTGAACCAGATTTGTGTGCATTTAATGTTTTGATTCTTCCTTTATTTCTCTTATATTGAGTAACTGAGATGTATCTATTCGTGTTAATGTCATCGTTGTGAATGCCTGTATGAGAGGCTAGATTTGGGGATCCAGACCACTTTACAAAGCTATGTAAATGAGGCAGCATGGTGAAGTAGATCAAAGGTCTAATTTAGACTCAAGATGACATGGGTTTAAATCCCTATGCAAACATAAATTGGCTATGTGACTTTTGGGAAGGCATTTGATCTTTCTGGTGATAAGCTTTCTCATCTGTAATGGGGATAATAGCATTTACCCCACAAGGTCTTTATGAGGATGAAGTGAAATAATGTATGGAATGTGATTGGATTTTTTTTTTTTGGTCTTTAAAGTGCTATATAAAGCCAGTCAGAGAGAAGTATTGGATGGGGAGTTGGCCTCAAAAAATGGAAAGACCTGGGCTCAAGACCTACCTCTGACACATAGCCTAAATAACTCACCTATCTTTGCAGGACTCTGGACAATTCTCTAAGATTATAAATTGCAGAAAAGTTGTTGACCTCCGTTAGTAGAAGGAGTTTCCTCAAATGGGAGCTCCTTCTACTAATGCAACTACATGTTTATTCCCATTTTGTGTTTGTAATTATTGTTGTAATTATTGTTGTGTTGCAATTATTGTAATTATCACTATTGTTATTATTTAAACTCTGTAAACTTAGTGGCCATGTGTTTGGTAGGAAAGGTAAGCTACAGGAGGTATATTTTACAGTCATACAAGCAAGAATCGATGAAGACCCAGACTAGGGCAGAGGCAGTAGAAATAGAAGAGTAAGAAGATGTAAATGGATGTCCTAAGAGATCAGTTATGGGGGATGAAAGGGAGGAAGTGATCAAAGAAAAATGTAAGGTTTCTAACTGAATGCTAGGAGAATTTGGGTGTCACTGATAGATCTCCTTAAAATGAACCCTCCACCTAGAATATTCCGGTGTTCTTATGACATCTCAAAGAGCCACTCTTGGATTAGTTTTGTGTTGCGCAATTGAACTATGAGCAGCATTAGCATTTTTTAAAAATATATTATTTATTTATTTTTTAACAGTTTTTAAAATTTTGAGATCCAAATTCCCTCCCTCTCTCCCATCCCTCCCCCACCCACTGAGAAGGCAAGCAAAGTGATATTAATTAATTATACATGTGAAATCATGCAAAACATTTTCATATTAGCCACATTACCCCCAAACCAAAAAAATAAAGAAAGAAAATTATACTTCAGTTTATACTCAGAGATCATAAGTTCTCTCCCTATAGGTGGATAGCAGTTTTTCATCATGAGTCCTTTGGAATTGTCTCAGATCATTTTATTGATTAGAGCAGTCAGTCTTTTCAGAGTTGATCAACATTATAACATTGCTGTTACCATGCACAATGATCTCCAAGTTCTTCTCACTTTACTTTGCATCGGTTCACATAGGTCTTGCCATGTTTTCTTTCTTTTTTTCTAGAATCACCCCCCCCACACATAATTTCTTATAGCACAGTAGTACTTCATCACAATCATATGCCACAAATTGTTCAGCCATTTCCTTATTGATGTTCATCCTTTCAATTTCCAATTCTTTGTCATGAAAAAAAGAGCTGCTATAAATATTTCTGCACATGTAGATCCTTTTCCTTTTCCTTTGATCTCTCTGGGTTACTGACCTAGTAATGTTATTGGTGGGTCAAAGGGTAGGCACAGTTTTATAGTCTTTTGAACATAGTTCCAAATTGTTCTCCGGAATGATTGGGCCAGTACACAACTCTACCGACAGTTCTTAGTATACCTATTTTTCCTCATCCCTTCCAGCATTTGTCATTTCTGATAGGTAGAAGGTGGTACCTCAGAATTGCTT